CCAAGTTATATAATCAATAAATTAGAAAATTTTTCCAGAAAAAGTGTCTGAATATAGCTTGCTTTTTCAAGAATCCAAAAGTAAAAGGCCTTTCAAGTGAACACGTCTCTAAAACGCAATGTATCTCACTAGGTATATACTGAAGAACGGCAAATTCTAATTTTAATTAATTTCTAATTAGTAATTTCTAATTAATCCTAAAAATTAATTCCGCAAGTTCTAACTAATAATTTTATTTTAACTTTCTTCTCATTACCTGACCGTCTCCGCAAGGTGAACCTTCCGCTGCTGGACGATACGCCACACAGTATCCGGACCCAGCATCGAAACAAAAAAGTTGAGCGCAAACACGATCATCTTTCTAAAATGACATGCAAAATTAATATTGTACAATATAAAATACGAGTTTGTATAATACAATATACGTATAATATACTTTATAATATATAGTATTGTATAATATAATATACAAGTATTATACATATATTGATGGTTGCGTACGCGCGATACATGTGTGATACATACGAAACAAGCGCTCGTCCCACGGTCTTTTCGACATTGCGCGTCTAAAGACAGTAGCTTTCCCGGAAGTACTCGGGGTAGTGCCTCGTCCTCATGAGGTGCATTGTATAAGCAGGTCGCTGTATCACCACTAAAAACCAACGAAGCTACGTGAGTTTATTAATCTGTGTTACTATTTGTTTGTTTAATTCTAATTTTTTACTTCTTTGATTTTGGAACGTCCAACAAAGGCATAAATATACATCCCCAATCTCCCTCAATCAGCGTTCGCTAACTAAATAGTGTTATTTTTTGTTAAAACTTAAACAATTCTGTGTGATTTTCTTCTCCAATGCTTTGTATTAATATAAAAATGTCGTGTAAAATAATAATTAACCCATAAAGCAGACTCATGGAGAATTATAGAATCCGAGCGATTTTAATTATCTAAAATTTCTCGGAAATCTGCATCGTCCTTACTAGCGGGTTCTCTGTGGGAGAAAAGTTTGCAGCGAACATACTTAAGAGCAAAATATGCAAATTATTTTTTCTCATTTTAATATATTTATCTTTTTCTAAAAAATAATTAATTTTTATATACTGTAAAAATTATCTTTTTTTTAATGACAATTGTACCATAATTTTTTTCTTAAGCTATAAGTTCTATACTAAAGAAGCATTTTTTTTATAAGTCAAATTTCGAAAAAAAAAACAAAAAGAAAAACAAAAATAAAATGAAGACATGAATCGATTTTGAGAGTTAATATCAATGGATAATATTTTTGCGTAACGGATTGAGCCGTTTTCTTTATCTTCCCTTTACATCTTTAAATGATCGAACCTTGATCATTTTAGAATTAGTATCGCGCAATGATTACCTACTTTAAAAAATGATGGAAGGAGGACACACTGCAGTGAGACCACTTGAAACCTTTCTCAGTATGTCTAAGATCGCTCATGATGTATCCGTCTTCCCAACGACACTTTTCAGCGCCTGGTCCACCTAAGTAACTGGGCGGCGGTGAACCATCGTGAACGGCACCTAATCTACAATTAGTAAAACGTGCGTGATATTTCCTTTAAGACAAAATTCAGCGCGCGATGCACATTTCAACCAATTTTCAACTTGTTTCGCTTAGCCTTGTTCCCCTTACAACGAGCCGACTTGTAAGCATATGTTTCTAATAGCTTTCTATCATTAGAAAGCTCATAGATTGCGGACGGGACGATGAGGATAGGGCTGGACGGAACAAGTGGAAAATCGGTCGAAATGTGCAACGTGTGTCGAGCTTTGATCTAAGACATTCTACTCATGGCGTTAGATATTAGCAATCCACATTAACATTGGAATTTCATAGGTAGATCTTGATTGAGTGTGTGTTGGACTTTGAATAACAGTAGTGAGGAAATATTCCACTTACAAATGACCCACTTCGTGGGCAGCGACGATGATGCCGCTAAATCCGCCGGTATCTTCGATGATAGCGACAGAATTGACCTTTTCGAGACGTTTATTCACGACACATGCCCCGCCGACGTATGCGAATCCTGTGCAAACAAGGCTCTTCAGCGCATCTCGTGTTTATCCTTCTAGTACATACATCAAACAGAGCGCTAATTCGTTATTATCGAGACTATCGGTATCGCGAGCAAGCTGTCTCGTTAAATAATTAGTATTTGTATAGCGTTGCATGGAAGCGCATTTTCACCGTGAACTCTCACGCAATTATTATAGGCGACTACTTTGAGTTAAACGATCGATTTTACCAGGGTCGGGTAATAACTAGTTAATCAGCTGAAAGTTAAGTTCAAAAATTAATAACTTGAAACATAGTTCATTTTACATGAGCTAACTTTTAACTAAAGTTATTTCAAGGAAGTTTTAAATGATACTTCATTAAAATATACTTAAATGTTCATTTCATTATTATGACGGCTTTTTAAATTTCTGTTTTACATACAAATGGCAAATTGGAAGAAATTTATTATATTATAGTTTTACATATGCTTGCATAATATAACTTTACATTATCTCGAAATCGACACGGTAAAAAAGACAAAGACTACTTTTTCATTCTTACACATAAGTATAATCTAGAATTAAAAATTCATTGTGTGAGAAAACATATATATATTTTTTTTGCATAGTTAATATTTAACTTTAATAAGTTAATTTAATTTGTTTTTTAATTAATTTAGTTTTTATTTATGTAACTTTGAACTTAATTAATTTTATAGGCTAACCATTTTAAACTAACTTAGTTAAAAAGGAAAATTAACTTACCCTAAATCTTACCAAACCCTGGATTTTATCAATCGTGCTTTTTGCACTTTAAATGTTTGCATTTAGAATAAAAAATGCGCCCGTTGTTAATTTATCAGAAATATTATTATATTTTGTTATATATATATATATATAATATGTTATATATATAACATATATATAACATTTTATTATATATATATAATTAAACATGAAATCTTAAAAATTTAATCTTCTGTTTACCGTATCAGAGGCTCCATTAAGATTCGTGTCTATTTACGAGAAAGCAAACTGTGTCGACAAGATCAATAAACTTTCATAGTTTATTGATCAACTCAGATCGAAATAAAAAAATTTCTTTTTGAAACTTTTTATACATCAGGAATTTCATTTTGTATACAAAAGATATATAAAAAAATATATGGAAGCAGACGTAGAGATAGCTAACGAACCCAGCTATGGCAGCTACGATAAACCGAAGATCAACGATATTAATTCGCAATAAGTAAATGTTAAGACAATTAGCCATTGATAGTCGACATGCATCCGGCGTTAATTCGTCGCCCGATGGTTAATGATAGAGTTAGCCGAGATATTAAATACCGCAAAGTGATAAATTTATGTTTGAGACATTTGTGTAGCGCGAATCAACCGATTAACGGATTAGGATGTTCCCCTTCCCCCCTCCCCTTGTATTGTTATTCTGATTCAATATCGTACGACGACAGAAGATGTTTCTCGGCGTACTTAGAGCTGGTGTGATTTCAGAGACTTACCAAACCACGATCCATGACAGTAATGCAGTTGAAAAGATAACAAGAGTTGTAATTTATTCAGAAAGAATACAAAACTAAGAGCGCAGGCGACGTGAAGAAGAAAGAAAAAGAAACGAGAAAAGGAACAGAGGAAGACAAAGAGAGAGAGAAAGAGAGAGAGAGAGAACAGAATTAAATTTTGCAAGAATTTTGTCCTTTAGGCAACATGTCTTTTTCGAACGACAGTTTAGGATACAAATTGTATTATCGATCTCATTAAGAACGATTTTGGCATATAAGACTGTGAAATAATAGTATGTACATAAATGCGGAAATAGTAATAGTTGTGTGGATACAGTGGCGGATTTTCAAGGCGAGCGTACTTTCAGGACATCGCGTGTAAAGAGCGCTCGTAATTAATTCTATAACTTAGCTTTTAACTGTGATTTTTACTATTATCCAGAGACTACAAATACGCCACTCGACCCGCCACTATGAAGATACTGAGACCTAGCACACATATATGATAGACGTAAACACATATAGGAGTAAGATGAAGCAACTGTGCAAGGGAACAGCAGAGTTCAAGAGAGGCAATTGCTTTTACAGATTGCGAGTATTCGACGCATTCTCAATGCTAAGTTGCAATCTGTGTGACGCGTGCGACGCGAAAGATCATTGCACCGTAAGAAGAAGAGAGTACGAGGCATTAGAAGAAGGTATTTTGAAAGGTATACAAATGGAAGTGCACGTAACAGAGCAGGCTCGCTTCGAGTGATTTCAGTGATTGCTTTCTAAATTACGAAATGTTGAAGAGAATAAAGTGTGACGCGAACGAAAGTCTGACGTATTCGATTTTTTAAGTCTCGCGATTTTTCCACGAGAAGCCTTTGTTTACTAAGATTTCGTCGAATTTATTTGACCGACTGGCTTCTCTCGTGATTCACTATTGTGTTCGAATGTCGATCGGAGATCTGGAGATTGAAACGTCACGAGGCGGTGCGTAAGTGCATAACTTAAAAACAATTGGGAAAGCTAAGACAACAAGATTTGCCTTCCTCCTGAATTCGAGAGAACATACCTGCAGTTCCTCTATTGCACACGTCATTCGCGTATTGCCTCCTGCACATATCTAATCTGCAATGCAATAACAAACATTCTCTTTATCATGTAAATTCATATTCGGTGACACGATCCGACTTGTATGGACAGACAGAAACGATAGAATTCATCGCCGTTCGGATTAGTCCTTTTGCGAATACTGCATAAGACAACAATAAAAACAATAAAGACAAATATGCGTGAAATCGTTGAGTCGTCGTGACCGACTCCAATTAATTCGACACAATTTCTAAACAGCGCAGCCCACTAGATTTCTAAAGAGTCAGAACATTAACAATATAGAAATTTTCTGGGGAGAATAACCACTATGTAAAAAAGAGAAACAAAATAAAAGAGAAACACTACCCTGCATTTTCAAGACAAATTTGAGCGATATTCTTGCTGTGGCCGACGGTGCCGATCCATTTCTTCGTACTTATTCCGGAAATAACTTCCTCGTTTTTTATTTACAAAAAAAAAGGAAAAAATCGTGATGGAGACGAATTGGACTGGAAGTTATTTCCGAGATTAGCGTGAAAAGCTACCCCTAAAAAGTATCAGGTAACTTTTAAATCAACCAAAATCGTGCAGGGCGGTGTATATAACAGGAAGCAGATGCCCGCGAAAAAAGCGAACGTCATAAACCAGATATTGAAAGCGGTATAATTTCGTTGAGGGATGAAATTTTGATGCCGTAGACACGCAAAAACGATCACTTGTACTTATTTGTGACGGCAAAATCGCGGCGATAGATAGCGAGGCCCTTTCGCATAATTATAGCGATAGAACCCGAACACATATGAAATTATATCGGTTTCAAGCCATGTCGCTAAATCTCCTCATAAAATAAAACAACTCCTTCCCCCGAAAACAGTTTCAAAAAATCGCGTGTTGCGGAAGCGTGTATTACGTGTATCTGTTTTGTATATGTATATGTATATATTTGTAAATATATATTGTGAATTCCACATGTGTGACAATTCCTTCCCGTTAGAATGAATCATCTAACGTTAGATTCTTAAATATCTCTGTTTTTTTATATTAACTCCTTAAGTCTTAATGAAATATATTTATATATATATATATATATATATATATATATATATATATATAT